GGTTCTCCACTCAGTCAACCTTGCTCCCCTGCTTCTACCGCTGCTCATCAGTCTCTTATTTATGCTTCATGGTACCCGTTCTCTGGATTCTGTTGAGGATACAGGCGGTCAAAGAATGTATAAAATGCCAGAAGGCGCAGCCAAGGACCTAAGCTTGGACTCTGCAACTCCTGTGGAGCAATCAACGATGGACGTGTTCAGTGAAAACCGACTAGTCCGACCTAAGCGATTCATCATCAATCCATGGGTACTCCGGCGAAAGGACCGTAAGCCACGCAGCCCAACAAATAGTGAGGCCGACCTTGATGCAAAGAACTTTTGGAATTACGGTACTTCAGAAGATGAAAGTGATTTCATTGACTCAAAGTTTCTACTGCCTTCTAAGACTCAAAATGATCCAGATGCATCGATGAGCCTGATCGACCGTGAAAAACGGCCTTTTCATAATCCTTTCGGTCGGTACCATTTCGTCGGTTACAAGCGTCCCTATCATCAGCCATTCGACTCGTTTGTCGGTAGTCAAAGGCAGGAAAACTGATCAAAGGCCATTGATGATGCCATTTGGGCGAACTCGCTTCTGATAGGCACAGACTCGGCATGGCTGTCGTCAGAAGAATCAAACTAGTCAAAAAGATAGCAAAAAGTTAAAACTTAGAGGGGATTGGTTGCAGACAATGTTTTGGGGACAAAGCCGAGGGTTGCACCGGTAAGATTGGCCCTATTATTCTCTTAACTAAAAACAGGAAATAACTCATAACCCAGATCACAATATACCATATTACCAGTTTTCACTACAGTTACATGACGTTTATGAAGCAAACAATTTTCTGGTTAGACCTACAGATATCAGACTCAAAGTTCGCTCATATTTACCCCCTGCAACCAAGTTATTCTCAATTTTGTACACATGCGCACAAACACAATACCAATTCGTAGTTTAGTTGCCTCTATTGCTGGAGCCTCTATTTATAAATCTGGCCTATAAAGGTCCATTTCACAAGTTGGTATTCTGTTGAGGATATGGGTAAAATGCCTTGGATGCCTATTTATTTTATGCAGACAACGGATGGTCATGATCTACAATATTTTGATGAAAAGAGAATCGTGCAATTTATGAAAAGACGCAACATATAGAGGCCGAATTTTGTGAAGCAAGCTGGCCTCATGATTCGAAGTGTCGAATGTTACCGAAAAATTACTAGATGTTGCTAGTAATGGATAAGGTGTAGCAACAGAAGTCCAAGCCTACTTAACGGGGGTGTTTGTATGACGCCTGCCCAGTCTAGCAAGCTCATTTCGACAGGTTAATGCCCGATTTAAAACAAAATTGCTAAAGGAAACAAGATCAAAGGTATAGGATTTCCATAAAAATAGTTTAAATCAAAAACATATAGAATATAGTGTGATTATTGATGAGAGAAACTTGGATTTTTAAAAAAATAACTATGTACAATCTATTTCGTTTAAGGTTATGAATGACGGATAGTTAAATTTTTCACCACTGGTATGAATAGGCCTCATGAATCCATTTAATTTCAGATAGCCTTGCTTCACAAAGGTATTCTTATCCAGATTGGACTGCAGTTTCGGCCTCGCCTGAACTGGCCTCATCAGTACCCCCAGCGGGAGTCGAATACGGTTTGTGGTGCTTCGCCGTATTATCTCGGCACACTAACTAGAAGCAGCATTTCCACGCATGCCTTGGGATCATAGAGCAGAAGACAATTTCAAGGAAGGCAACGCCTATCCCATATCACTTTATGTGGTGGGATCGCCTGCTTATACAAGAAAAATACACGATCAGGTCTATTGCCATGGCAAATACAACTTTGCTTCATAGATAATCCCGCCATAGGACTGTGATATGATAAGGGGCTAGACCTGTCTCTGCTATGTAACCCATAAAACGGGTGGAAGTATAGTGTGATAGTTAAAGTGTTAAGATTATATGCTGCACTATCATGATTTGAGTCTCGCTGGGGGTGCTGATGAGACCTAAACAAGGTCGAAGCCACAGTCCAGCGGATGAGAGTACATTTATGGAATTCAGTGGAAAAGTAATTCCTACTCTTATTGTGGGAAAATTTAACTACAAGTTCTTCATTATGTTAAACTAAATAGGGTCGACATAGTTCTTTTTCAAGTATGTGATTTACTGATAGTCTCTAAAACCTACTCACTTGCCAAATTTACTACTTGATATGAGGCATGAATAAAACAATTGTTCGTCTCATAAGTAGTCATTCGAGTAGATCTGACATAAGAGCTGTATTTACCATAGTTCGTTTATCTTGATAAAGGTTTCGTAGTTGAATCTTCCCATAATTATATGAGTATGCCTCATTTTTCCATTTAATCTAACATGCCCTACTTCCCATAAAGCATCCTCATCCGCACCCCTATGGGGACTCGAGCCCGGGTAGTGCAGCTTACAGTCTAGACCCAGGGACACTCGTGGAAATGTGGTGTAGTGGTTAACCTGTTGAGGCTATACGCTGCACTACCACAAATATGGTTCGAGTTTCGCCGAGGGTGCTGATTAGACCTAGGACGAGGTCGAAACGGCAGCCCACTCCAGATAAGAATACATTTAAGGGAAGCAAGGCTATGTGAAATTCAATAGAAAGCATCAGCTCAACTCATATCATCTCGAAAAATTTTAACTATTAGTTCTTCATCACTCAAAAGTAAATGTGATTTTCGTATGATTTTACTTAATCATGAAACTTTGAAAGAATATGGCTATACTAAAATTTCACTTTTCAGAATAAAGCTAAGTAGATAGGATGAAAGCTTTATTTTTTTGTAGCATCCTGTATAAGATTAAATAAAAAAATTAAATTAACTTTCGCAATTCCAGTGTCTTATTTAAAAAGCTGATTTTAGGGTTATTTTCAATTATATCCTTTGGAACTCCCTAGATGAAATGCATATATAGGATAGGCTTAAATTCTGCCTTAAATTCACCAAAATTATACATAAACTTATTTAAATGTTAGCTGAGTTCTACCCTTTGATAATGCAGTGTTGGAAGCGTAAAATGGTGTTATGTGGGCAGAAAGGTAGCAGAAAGGTAGCAGAAAGGCAGATTAGCCTGCCCTACTTCGCATTAGGTGAGTCGGGAATGTGAAAAGAGAAAGAATGAGGTTCGCATGTTTTCAACGTTGAATAAAGCGTACAAAATCCAAATTCGTTAATTTAAAAATTCAGCCATAGCTATTAGTAAGTACAGATACCCCTACAATGTTCTCTCACACTTAATGTCATGAAATCTTCCCAAGTCACTCTATCTGCAACCCCTTTCTTTGCATGATCAGGAAATTTATGCAATCCCGGTAGTTCATGTAACCTCGGGCCTGATTAATTTGTTTGCACATCAAATTAAATGAAGCTAAAGAAATTTAATCATTTTATGGTAAACACAAAATAGATGAATTCAATCAATTAAATGCAATGGAGTTGATTCGCCCTGAGTATAGATGCAGAGTAGGAGAGAGTGGCACGGGGTGTATTCTCAGGTTGTTATGCCAAAATAATTATACCAGACTTTTCAAGATTGATGACGGATAGTTGAGAGCTAAGAGTTACAGTTTACCGTTTATGAGCACTTTTCCGGCCTTGTGAAGATAGCTAGGACTATATTCCTGTACAAACAATTTACATCAAGCTATAAAATGCCCGATTGGCTGGAAGATGCGTCACTTCGTGTGAATTCTATGAATTAATACATTCACGCGTTCATGTGTTCGTCTGATCGTGTATTTGTGTGTTTGAGTTGATATATTCACGAGTTCATTTTTATCTACGCTTGTGATTTTGTATCTTCGTGTGTTCGTATGCTTGTAGGTTCATGATTGCAATTTACTAATATGTATGCATGTATATGAGGGTGTATGCAATTATGTGTGCTTAAAAATGCGTTTGTATAGATATTTGTATAGGAGCGTTTGCATGCGTGCAAATACATGTGGGAATTAGTTGACAGCTCGATTCCAACTAGACCAATGGTGACAGAAGATGACCACATATTATGGAAAATTGGATATTCGGATTGTAGCTATGACGACCAAGATAGTGTGGCCTTCTATTTGGTAGCAGCCTTCTTTGGCTTTATTGCGTTTGTTCTTGTCGAATAAGGCATTATCGAGCAAACATTACTTGTGAGGAATACAAATGTATGGCTCATTAAGGCTATTGAGCCTGAGGCTTATCAGGAGTTTTAGCTTCATTTAGGTATGCTTGGGATGCCTCAATCTAAATAATTTAAGTTTCACCGTCATCTTAACCTTACTCTATTTGTAGAGAAAGGAATGTATGCTATAGACAATTTTCTAAAATATAATGTGATATCTACTAAATTCCAGTAAAATATATCTAAACAAAGTATTTTTTAAAGTGAAGAATTATAAGCTTCATTGCAGAGGTTAAGAAAATCCGATAGAATAGTACATTAATAATGGTAAGGAATGTCCGAATTAGGCAGCGACAATCTTCATGTACTGAGCGAAACACTAGAAGTAGTAAGCGATCTTCGGTTAATTTATTGATATAGCATTGATGGGTAGAAATGCATTATATACGAAGGTTTGACGAAACTATACATAGTTCGGTCTCAACAGCAGAAGCTGGAGGACTCATCACACTATTCTCTTGTTTGATTTTACTGGGAATTTTATGCGTGCGCAGTTCTCGTGGCATGCTTTCAATAAAGACGATAGGTAAAATCCTCTTAGGTGAAATTAAGCCAAGCATTCATCTCTCATATAGACTGAGAGGCATCACCTACACACTGATAAGTGTAGTTACTATAAAGGTATAGTAAAAAGATACACTCCTAATAAGTAATTAAGGGATTTGGGTGCCTTAAGTAGTTTGACGCACTTGGGACAGAAGAAAGCAATTAGCAAAAGAAATACTGCTAGGCATTACAAGAGTAAATTTATTCACTATACTTTCATGGAATATAAGGCTCGCCGTATCAAGTGGTTTAAATTTTGCTTTCCCAAGTGAAGTAAATGAAATACTTGTCGTCGTTGGGAATTATATAGAGTTGGTGATGATGCCTCGTTTCGCCCGGATAGTTACAGTATGTGCTCCAAAATGATTTCTAAGTATTTATACCTTCAGAAATGGATAGTCTCAAAGGTTGGTGTAATCAGAGAGCTAGGTTACTTAAAAATTAGGTTGGCTTAAGAGGAATTGATGAGTATGTAATTTATAATAAGATTCCAGTTCATTAGCATAAAAAATGGGCCTAATTACTCCTCTAAGGCACATGTAGGCAGCTAGGAAATGGAGAACTGGAAACGAAATTCACATGGGCAAAGAGATGTTGGGACATGCAAGGTATATCACCCTCCAAGGGTACAGAAGAAGAGTTCATGATTTTTATACAAGCAATAAAGAAAAGTAAGTGATGTATTTCGTTTAGCTTGCTGAAAGACTGGTAGCGGAAGTTTACCATAATGATATGAGTAGTCCTTAAGTTTCCATTCAATTTCACATAGCCTTGCTTCCAAGAAGGTTTACATACCCAGA